ATTCAACCTTTTCAAACATACCGCGAAAATTTTTTTTAAAGCCATACTCATCTCAGTTAATCTATAAAACGAAAAATACATTAAAAATGTAGTCAGATTAGCCCAGTGGGATAGGTGCTAGTTTAGTACACAGACGTTGTTACTTGCCTACATACAGTCCTGAGTTCGATCCTCAGATCTGGCTTTGATTTTTTATCTTTTTTTTAAGCGTATCCTAAAATACCAAACCGATAGTTTGGAAAACCAAAAACAGCGTATCCTTCGATACCCAACCGGGCATACCCTTAACAGTATCTACATTTGAAACTAATAAGAACTACTTTTTGATTTTGTAGAAACAGAAACTATTGACGATTCTAACTTCTCGCTTGATGACTAAGTATTATAAAATTGAGTGAATATAATATGCACGGAAAGGAAACTTACAGTGAAATTTATTTTCGACCATATCATACACCGGTGGATAGAGGACTTCAAGGCGCTCAAGCATTTTATGTGTCTTGATTTTTCTGACCTTTTTTCCGGTCGAAAAATTTAAAAAACTCGAAAGGTGTCAAAAACGGACGTTTTTTTGTCTTTTTTTATTTGTCTTTTTTGAAATTCGTTTTTTTAAAATTATCTTACGGGATGGAATATTCTTTGTTCCATTTGTTTTTCCTGATTTAGCATTGGAAACTGAATTAGAAAATAGTCTTAGAATATTTACAGAACAAAACATCTATTCACAAGAAATTTACGCAATGTCCATGGCGCAAAAATGCAGCATAATTTGCAAGCCTATCACAGCTTGCTAGAACCAATATTTTTGCATGGTTAATCTGCCAGATTCTCAGCTTCAAAGTTACGAAAAGCTTTTCCAAAAATTCCTTTTCCTTGCTAAGAAAAATCACTTTTTCTACATCAGAGGCGAAAAAGTTGGAATTCTGCCCGTAAATCCCAATTTTCTCAGTCAGAACTCAACTTTTGAGCAATCAAATTATCATATTCGGAATCAGGATCAGAAACTGAGTCGACTGATATGTATTTCGAAATTTTCAGTTTTGGATGAAAATCTCGCTAAGTTTTCAACGTGAAAATTCGAAAAACGTTAAAGTAGTAGGATATGATAGAAACACACATGTCGACTTAGCTTTTTATCTTAATTCCGAATTTGATATTTTTATTGCTCAAAAGAGACTTATGATGGACAAAATTGGGATTTATGGGCAGAATTCCGGCTTTTTCGCCTCTGATTTAGAAAAAGTGATTTTTCTCAGCAAGGAATAGGAATTTTTGGAAAAGCTTTTCGTAACTTGGAAGCTGAGAATCTGGCAGATTAACCATGCAAAAACATTGGTTCTAGCAAGCTGTGATAGACTTGCAAAATTGTGCTGCATTTTTGCGCCATGTACATTGTGTAATTTCTTGTGAATAGATGTGTTGTTCTTACAATGTAGACTGACCCATCGAATAAAAGAAGATAAACTCTTCTCTTATTAATTGTAAGCCCTACTATATGATAACAGAAAAGACAATGTAACTATAATTGTTTTCTTTTGCGTAATGATACAGGTTAATTTATTTACACACATTGCTCAACGTGCTTTACAATAAGATGGGATTAGGATTTGAATTGGAGCAAAAGACTCTTTACCTTGAAAAACTCATTTTCCAGAAAACTGAATGTTAAGAGATGTAATTGCCTCATCCATAATCGCATTCGGAATTGACTTTGTCGATCACCTCCCATGTTGACGAAATCGTCTAAATTTTTGCCGATTAATCGTGATTTTTCTACTGGGTTTCCAGAGTAACAAGCCAAAAAGATCGCCGATTAATCGTGCGATTAAACGCGATAAATCGCACGACTAATCGGCGATTGTTTTGACTTGTTACTTTGGAAACCCAGCAGAAAAATCGCGATTAATCGGCAAAAGTTAGGCGATTTGGTCGACATGGGCTATAGTCTCATGTTTTTGATCCAAAAAGTGATGTAACACCTGGAAACGTTCCCTTGCCAGCAGGAAACAATGGATTATATGTTTGAAATGGTATTTCTTCATATATAGCACTTGACGAATAATGACTTTTGGGTCCTGAATATTCTGGTGCTTGATTATTACGTACAGCGTCGCTCTCACCGTCAACTACAGCAACGACAACAGCTGGCTGTAAATCATGATAAATACGGGCGTTGTTGTTTTTGGTTGTTGTATAACAACGATATCGATATAAAATAAAGATTACTAGGGTTATCAGAACAATTCCAAACGTAATGCCCAGTACTAGGCCAATAATCAATCCGATAGGCTGTTTATTACCAATTCGTTGTATTGTTGATGAAACCAAGTGTTCGGAAAGAAGAAATGTGGCTTTGGAAGATTTTTCTGAGGTTCAACAAGAACTATTCATAGTACCATAACACAAATTTGAAATGAAAATTCCACCCAGCAACACACTATTAAAAAGTTTTACAAGAAATGATGTCCGAATGTATAATAATATTTCCCAAACGTTATTTAATAAATAAAAATTCGTTAAATATTTTATAATGCAAGAATTAGCGACGATAACGATTTCTAGTCTACTAACACTGTTGAGTCGTAAATAAACGTTTAAAGATTTTTTATTCAGTAAATAATATTATCGCACTTTTGGGCAATTTTTCTCATAAAAATGTACTCCCTCCAGAGTAGAAAAAAAGAGGCTTGACGTATAGTTTGTCATGTAAAATTATAAAAGTGGGTAGACAGTTTCTTCTTGACAGACATGTGTGCCGTCTAGTCGGTAGGATTAGAATTATACGAAATGAGTAAATATACATACATGTTGAGACTTCTGTTGCACTGCTGGAGATTGTTTCTAAAAACAAAAATGGATCATTTTAACTCTTATACGCATATTCATTCTACTTGGAATTTTAGCAGAATTTAGGACATATACTTTTCTTACCAGATATACTGAATTTTAAAAGACGGCGATTATATGAATCAGCAACATACATATTTCCCATTGTATCCAATTGAATTGTAGTTGGACCAAATAACTGATCAGACTCATTCCCACCTCCATAACCACCGATAATTAGTGTTCCACTACTTGCGTTCAAATCCCATCTGATAATGGTATTAGCAGGCGGATTCGATATGAACATCCGATTACAATTGTCAAGTATTATTCCATATGGTATATACAGTGGATTTAAATTTGAACCTTCCAAATAGCCACCGGCCACAGTTATTCCTGATTTACTTCCCGGTATCCACTTTTGTATACGATGATTTGATGAATCAGCCACATAAACATTTTCATCCTTATCAACATAAATACCTAGTGGATGTGATAACTGATCGTTGCTCGATCCAGCACCATTTCCACCAGCTACTACAATACCTTCGATTGAACCAGGTTGCCATTTCATAACCCTATGATTATTCATATCTGATATACAAATATCACCATTATCAGTAATAAATAAGCCAAGGCAAATTGTAAGCTGATTGCTAGCATTTTCCCCAACCATGTCCACCAGCAACTGTAGGATTGATTAACTTTATTTCACTTCCAACGTGGATTTTCTGTATACGGCTATACCTGTGGTCGGCAAGATAAAGGCTGTCGTTTTTATCTATAAATATAGATGGAGGATGACTAGTTGTAGCTCTTGGAGCATTATATATCGTGGTCCATTCTCTCGTTCTATTAGAGAATTGTTGTATACGATCGATATCCGTTACATAAATATTTTGATGACTATCGAAGGCAAAATTAACGATAGTATGATTTTTATCTGGTAACACATCCAAATCTCGTTCATCGAGAACAGTTGTAGCTTGTCTATTCCATCGAACAGGAGACGAACATGATTGTGCTGGAAACAAGAAATCTCAAACGTTATGTGTCAGCATGTGCGTTTCACATCGTTGCAAGTTATGACTCCGTTTTTGAAAAGACCTTCTTTCTCTACTAACATGAGTTAGATAACAGTTATTGATCCAATGCTTCTGCTGCTGACACATTAACCACTATGGTCTAGTCAAAAAAATTAATAAACATTGATTTTGTGCTTAATGAAAGAGTAGTTTGTCTTGATATTTTTAGCATTGTACAAAAGTACAATAAATCCTCGATTCATAGTATGTTTTTAAAACTTTTTGAACAAAATGTCTCAGAAAATAGAAATTAAAGTTTTTAAAAATTTCAAAGTAAACGTTTTATATTGAAAATTAATTCTTCAAAAAAAGTCAGCTTCGCGATCAGCATGAAAAGCTTCGTCTAGTGATGTGCCCCTATCGATTTTCCGATGAAAAAAACTCAAAAAAAACTTCATCGGTGAAGTGTCGCGTTACGTGTGCAAGCCATGGAGTATATAATATATCAAGATGATACGTTTTGAGTTGATCTTTGAAACATGTAAAATTGATGATCTTGATACATTATTATGCGGCTAACAGGTTAAAAAGTCATGGGTCGTGTTTCTAATTTTCGAAATAACGCCAGAATAGAAGGCCATCCTCAGCAGAAGACCATCCCGAAGAAAAATTTCAAAAGACGTACTAGACGGCCACGGATTTTCCAGACGTCATTTTTTAGAAGTCAAACGTTTTTGAGGTTTTAAAACTCCAAAACACAGATTTTAAATTCTTTTTATAGGCTTCTCCACAAGAAATCTAACTTTCTTAACAGAGAATCTAGTTTTCTTAGCACTCAGATAGTGACAACCCCGCTTAAAGATCAGAAAACCTTTTCAAAAGCCCCCAAGTTTCTAGATAAAAGTTGAGAATTAAATGGGTCCTCAGTAGAGGGCCATCTTGGAACGGCTGATGTGAATTTTCATAACAGAAGGCCATGCCGCTCTATGCTAGAAGAGTTCAGTTAGTTTGTGAAACGCTTCTTTAGCTCATATTCCACTAGAATTATCAGAAGGAAAAGTTTTGCAACATCTTTAACGGTTCGTAAAAAGGTAGTATAACATAGACCTCTCAAAAGGTCATATAATTGGGGTTACGTTAGCCGAGTCAGTGAATGAAATAAACTTGTATCTTGTGGAGAGAATATCTCACAGATCAATCACATCTCTAACAGAATTCGTTCAGATATCTGCTAGCACTATTTTCGAAATTTCTACTTATATGAAAGCATGCGTAACCCTTAGGAAATCGATCTGTTCTTCTCTGGATCTGAAAAGCAAATTCAGTTTTATTGTACCTGTTATTGATATTATTAAAGTGCTTGATGATATGAGAAGAGGAAAAGAATACAGTAATAATTTTATACGATTTATAATGTCATTCATTACTAATAATAACGATAAGTGATGATGAGGTAATTTCAGACTGTTTATGTATGTACATTACGATACAAGAAATTTCTTAGAAATGCATCTCTACAGAAGGTACGGACAAAACTTCTTTATCTATGTTTTAACGTGTAATGGTATTTATCTCAGATTAAAAAGATTAAAATACGTCTCTATCTCTTTTCAACTTCATAAGCTCGTTTTTCTTTTGCGATTCAATATAATCTAGTATAAATGTCAAACAGTTTTAAAATGATGATCTGGAATAAATTATGTCTGATACTTATTCGAAAATAATACTTCCTCTCATTTTACTTCTCATTTCAGTCTGGTCTCATATATCAATCGAAATGTAACTGTCTTTAGGAAATATTTTCATCCTTTAAACGAACATAATATAATCCAAAGTCCACACTAGTCCACACAGTCTTTTTCATCTACTCTCTATTGTTCTCATTGAAAATCCGGATTTGTGAATACATTCTTTAAGTCAGATAACGCCCTAGATCCACTTTACTAAAGACCGACGACGTTTCTGTTTCTAAGGTTATGAATATGTCCTACATCGCCAGTACCTATTTAAAAAAGAACATCTGCTACCCACATTTCAGTCTGGTTTCGTTGTGAAAGACGAAGCTTTTGCTTGATGCTGTGAATAAAATCAATATTAGAATGTGTGAAATTAAAATCGTTCGGGCTGTGTTATTGAATTTCAGGACTAAGGTGGGACTATATGAAATCTATGTCACGAGGGTCTGCGCTTACATTAATTTGTTTTCATCGAATTAAGACGTATGCACGGGAGTACACTAATGTATATTTAGCGATCATTTCATGAAAACTCTGTGAAGATGACATCAGTAAAAGAAAATAAAGCAATTAAATCAAAACAAAGGGTATGAGGAGGCAGCATCAACTACAATTATCAATCTTCTAGTCAGATTAACAGGTACGAAAAAGATGATATGTTGTCCGCGTATACAACGTGTATTCAGTATTGTCCGTCGGTCGGGTACGCCCCTAGCGTTAGGAGAAGCGAGGAAGGGGTGTATAAAATTTTCAGATTTCCAGCAGTTTCTCCCTGTACAAACTTTCACTCCTTATTCTTCCTCTTTCAGAGGAATTCAGGGGATGAGTTAAACAAAAAAAAGTTAAGAGGAAGGCGTTGAAATAGACACAGATTATTCACCCTATCGAACAATCAAGACAATTTTAAAAGGCCATACATCTAATCTATTAAAAGCCACTGAAGATGTACCACAAGGGTCAGCACTTGATTCACTTCCTTTTCTAGTATACAGAAATGATCTACTGATAAACATAAAAATCATCAACAGTCGATGTTATACCGGTTAATCATCACTCTAATCCGCTGATTGCTACGAACGAACTAAATCGTAATCTTGATTGAGTACATATGTGGTCTGTCACTTGATATATACCGTTAAATCCAGTTAAATGTGAAGCAATCAGTTTTTCCACTCGCTGACATCGTAAACGAGCATTAACTCCAGTATCTTCACAGGAGGAAAGGAGTAGTGCGGATAAGACCCTTTTCTGGTCCACTAAATTTTTGACTTTTTTGCATTGGAATCATGTCAGGGGATGCTCAGAAGATTTCCAGAAACTCAGTTTCGCGAAATCTCTCTGTCAGGTTTTTGACGCTTGGGGTGCTCTACAGGATTCCCGAAAAACTTTTTGTAAACTTTTTGTTTTAACTTGTTGACTTTAATGCATTTCCTCGGCTTTGCGGGTCTAAAATGATTCACTGGAATCCAGTTTATATTTTCCTGATGGTTGTTTTTGATTTTCTCCAAGCCCACCCGATAATATGTAATCGACCATGCTGATCACGAATATTTGTATTAGAAGTGTCAAAAATGATTTGATAAGGAGTAATGTTCAATTTACCTCAATTTTCTGATTTTCCGCCGAGAAGGGTATTCAAGCCCTCTTGGCCGAGGAAGCACCAAAAAATTAAGATAGATAGTGATTCGGATGCAGAATTTCATGCTGAATCCGAATATAGCATTAGAAAACATATTCAAGCGCAATCTTTCTTGAAAATCGGCCAAAACCGGCGAAAATCGGGTTTTTAGGGGGTATTTACCCTAAATGACCCAGGCAGAAATTCAGACGCATCATCAAATTTTTGCACAATATGCAACTCTTCACGCTCTATCCAGTGGTGCTAAACAAAAACCAGAAAAGATTGTGGAACAGGACAGAAAACGCGAAATACTGGCTATTTTCACCACTTTTCTATTAACATACAGCCGGCTGGGTATTTTTGCGTCAGATCTGTGTCATTCAGACATATATATAGGTTTGTTGGTCGTGAATCCGTTGCCAAAAACACGTTGATCCTTCTCAGCGCTCACAGCTTACCCTATTTTCGAGAAAGTTCACTAAAAACACACTTTTCCACATGGAAGAAACAAAAATGCACGAGAATCGAATGTCGAAATGGTAAACAATTTTTTTTGTATTTTGAGATTGTTTTTTGATCTTTATTTTGAGCTATTTTTTGTTTTTTTTAATTTTTTGAGATTTTGACGCTTTTGTTATTGTTGTTTGTTTGTTAAACTAAAGAGTAGAGCGTCTCATTATCACTATCACTATCTTCATCCGATGAGGATGACGCACTCTTTGCGTCGATAAAAGCATCAATGTAAGAAGCAGAACGTTGAGTGGTGGTTGAATGTATCAAGCATGACCAAGGTAGCGAAGAAGACTTGCTACGTGACTGCAACAACCTATTGTTCGATTCCCGTTCGCATACTATCTGTACATATTCGTGTACGTAAGAAAGTACAACGGATTCACGACCAACAAACCTATATATATATGTCTGAATGACACAGATCTGACGCAAAAATACCCAGCCGGCTGTATGTTAATAGAAAAGTGGTGAAAATAGCCAGTATTTCGCGTTTTCTGAACTGAACATTACTCCTTATCAAATCGTTTTTGACACTTCTAATACAAATATTTGTGATCAGCATGGTCGATTACATATTATCGGGTGGGCTTGGAGAAAATCAAAAACAACCATCAGGAAAATATAAACTGGATTCCAGTGAATCATTTTAGACCCGCAACGGTCCCGTTTATCCGAAGTCGATTTTCAAGTCAAAGGCATGTGAAGATTGCTGCCATCGTCTTCATTTAATGCATGCGAATGCCTTAAAAATCAAAGCAAATTAATTCGTTCCAATCTTTCG